TCATCCAATGGCCCATATCCAAGGAGCAGACATAGCTTCAGCCCCATGGGCCTTTCTTAACATAGAGGAAAAGGTGAACAACCATGTAGAAAAGTAAATAAAATTATCAGAGATGTGCCATGTGGCGTTAAGCGTAGCAAGGCTGGAAAGTAGCCTTCAGAAAGGTAGTCAGAAGAGGACACAGCAGTTGGATGTTTAATCCAAAACATAAATGGTGAAAGGAAGTGGTTCAAGTGGAAGAAGAGTGAATAGACAGGTCCTGAGACTGGATTTGACTGTGTCTAAGGACTATAAATGAGACCAGAGTGCCTAGGACACAGAGCCCATGGGCTACATGGGAACAAATTAAGGACTGAAAGAGGGATAGAAGATATAGTTCTAGAACCCATGGGGAAACCCATGAAGGGTTCTGAGCAAAATGATGAGATACAATTTACACAGATTTATATTTAATTAAATAGAGGAATGGATGGCTGAATGGAAATCAAAGGATGGATGGACAGATTACATAGAGCTGAGAACTGTAAATGGCTTTTGATTTGAAAGGATTCGAATTGAGCAAAGGTTGCTGAATTCATTCTGATATAATACTGGTGTCTTTTATCAGGTTAGTGATACTTTATGTTGAATACAGTAAGAAAATTCATATTTCCTTAAGATTGCTGGTTTGTTGGAACTGGAGTCAAGTTAGTCTCATGGTGTGATTACATCTTGTCCAGTTTCACCTGAAATGGTGGTACAAAAGATTACTTCATCCAAGGTCAGATCCTAACACGGCAGGCAGCCATAGCCATGTTGCCCACACTCTTGTGGAGGTCTCTGGGAACTGCTGTTCTTTGTTCAGGCTGTGCTTAGCCAGCTCTGAGGACATTGGGGTGCCTACGTGCCTGGCGTGTCTGCTGAAGAAGCAGTCTTCAAGTCCGCACCTTCCCTAATAACCTTGTGTCTAAATTGTGGTGTCACACAAGGGCGTGTTTGGAGATTAGCATCTGAAAAGAGGCTTCCTTGCTCTCTGTTAGAGCTGACATGGTCCCTTTTCCTCAGTGGAAATGATATGTATTAATCATCATAAAACCATGGTATTCTGAAGGTAGAGGTCACCCTGAGGAGAACAAGAGCCTTCTCATTTGGGAGGAACAGTTTGGGGCTGTTGTATTTTCTTCAGTCTTGGAAGACAATGTTGCCAAACTGTTACCTTGGGCTTTCTGCAAAGGTTGAAGGTATGCCCAGTATCAGAGCCCCAAACTAATCAGAGCAGAATAGGAGATGGAAGCTGTGCCTTCATTCAATTCATTAAGTCATTTCCTGAAAAGTGGACTCTTATGTATATGTGCAGGTATGTGCTTGTATATGGAGGCCAGAGAACAACCTCAGATGTCATTCCTTAGGGCATTAAACACTTCATGGGAGGGGGATGTTTAATGATTTATCACTGTTCTGGAACTTGTCAAGTAAACTAAGCTGACTGATCACTAAGTCCCAAGGACCTCCCTGCCTCTACCTCCCCAGTGCCACCACACTCAGCAGTTTTGAAAATACGGGTTTGGGAGCTCTAACTCAGGTCCTCATGCTACAGAACAAGCACTTGACCAATTCATCTACCTCCCAGTGCAAAGTGTACATTGTTGCCATAGCAAAACTATTCCCAAAATGAAAAACAAATTGTTTTCCATCTTTACACTCACTGTGAGAAACTCTGTGGGCTGTCACTTAACATATGCCCTAGGATTCTTTTCCATGTCTTCTGTTAATATAACTGAATTTTTCAGGTGAAATATTAAGAAACAATACAAATCAATAAGATAAAAACCAAATGCCACCATCATGTTAGCATATCCTCATGCCGTGACCTTGAATCTACTCTTCCTCACAGAGAGTGGGCTCTCTGGTAAAACTTTTGTTTTTAATGAACAAAGGGACACAAAAGTCCCTTTGAATGAAAGAAAAGGGAGAATGAGTTGACCATTTGCTAGCTTCAAAGAGAAGTGTGCCTCTGAACAGAAGTACTCATTATAGCAGAGCTGCTGGGGATCAGGCAGCCCTGGCTGGATGCTGAACACTGAATAAGGTGATTTCAGCTTCATGCTCTTGGAAACAGGGGTGGGGGGACAGTTAGTGCCCTTGGGAAGTCCCTGGTGATGTTGGAATCATCTATTGTCTTGTCCATCTGTGGTCTAACTTGGAGTCTGAGACTTAAAAGGTCCTTCAATCAGTTTAACACACACACACACACACACACACACACACACACACACACACACACACACACACACACGTTCTACTGTGTGAAAAACCAAGTCAACTGACCAACTGCATAGACTCTTATCCAGTAACCAACAGAGCAAGGGCATGTGACAGGACCCTGTAGCCATAGGCCTGAATCCTGCCTCAGTGTCTTGAGTCAACTCCTTGTTTTAATAGACTCTGAAGAAGATTATTAGAAGGAAAATATGGGGAAAACAAGGGAAGACACTAAGTACACTTTTGTATTTCAAGGGACCAGTGATAGATAGTGTAAATTAACCCATTCATATTTTTTTAAAAAATGGTCAGAGTCAAAAGATGCTGAAAATGCAGAGATACCATTAAGTGGGAATGGGGCATCCTCCATTCCCCAACAGCTTAGGTATCCCCATCTCCCAGCTCCACTTGGCTCTCTGCTAAAGGAAGCTATTTCAACTGGGTGCTTAATCTCCCACCTACTAGGAAAGACCTCAGCTGGTACTTGGATTACTTGGGCATTGAAAAACTAACTGACTTGCCTGCAGGGTAGAAGAGCTCTACTGTTGTTCAAATCTTACATGGTCTTTTAACAAAAAATCAGAGCCAGATATCAGGGTAAAAGCTGAAAGATCAGAGAAGCAGAACAGCCAGCCACTAGTTCTTAACTCTACGAAATCTTCATCCTAAAGAGAGTGAGTTCCTGTTTCCCCATGCCTTATATACCTTTCTTTGCCCTGCCGTATTACTTCCTGGGATTAAAGGCATATGTGCTTCCCAAGCAAAGGCATGAGATCTCAAGTGCTGGGATTAAAGGTGTGTGCTACCACTGCCTGTGCTCTCTCTGTGTCTAATCTAGTGGCTGGCTCTGTCCTCTGATCTTCAGACAAGTTTATTAGGGTACACAATATATCACCACACTCTACCATGCAACTGAGAGAATCAGATGAAAGTCAGTGTCCCGTTCACCCTTCCCTGCATTTTTTTTGTCTTATTATGCCTGCCTCTTTCTCCTCTAGAGTGCATTCTCTTTTTTTAATTTAATTTTATTTTACTTTACAATACAATTCAGTTCTACATATCAGCCACGGATTCCCTTGTCCTCCCCCCTCCCGCCCCCTCCCGCCCCCTCCCGCCCCCTCCCCTTCCCCCCAGCCTATCCCCCATTCCCACCTCCTCCAGGGCAAAGCCTCCCTGCCTCCCTTGAGGACTGAGATCAACCTGGTAGACTCAGTCCAGGCAGGTCCAGTCCCCTCCTCCCAGGCCGAGCCAAACAATCCTGCATAGGCCCCAGGTTTCAAACAGCCAACTCATGCAATGAGCACAGGACCCGGTCCCACTGCCTGGATGCCTCCCAAACAGATCAAGCCAATCAACTATCTCACCTATTCAGAGGGCCTGATCCAGGTGGGGGCCCCTCAGCCATTGGTTCATCGTTCATGTGTTTCCATTCGTTTAGTTATTTGTCCCTGTGCTTTATCCAACCTTGGTCTCAATAATTCTTGCTCATATAAACCCTTCTCTTTCTCACTAATTGGACTCCCAGAGCTTCACCCAGGGCCTAGCTGACAGAGGCATTCTCTTTTTAAACCACATGTGGTGGTCTCCATATCAGACTTGCCTTCCGGGGACCTATCTTATCTTATCTTAATCAATATCAACATTCCACTGTTTAAACCATCTCCAGAAAAGTTATCTGGGGAGGGATGTCAAACAAGCAAGGATGTATTTGAGTGTGCACATCACTCTGAGATGTTCAATGGTCCCCTCCAGTTCTGTCCACTGTGTCACCTACAGCATGTAAAGTAAACTGATATGTGGAGTGCTCCAGTCTAGAAATTCACTGAACACCCAGTACACTTCATTTCCATCCCTTGTTCCTTTTCATTCTAATGCCAGCCCTTGAAGCTATAGTAGTTGAGGGAGAAAGACAATAGAGACAGAAGAGTCAAAGGTTCAGGAAGTAGACTAAACTATACTGCTCAAGAACTGGGCCAAGGACAGATGAGATACTGGGATGCCAAAATCGAAACCAAACCAGACTATGATTCCTGCTTGACTCAGGGGCCTCACAGACGCTTCACAGCATCTCATCTGAGTACAGCTGCTCCTTGACAATCTGAAGGATTGAGCACGAGCTGCACCAACAGGTCACTGCACTCTTTCTGATGTCCCTGATCCCATTTGCTTGATGACAGTCAAGTCAGATGAAAAGACATCTATCTACTCATCTACTCTTGACCATTAAATTCTGTCTGGGACCCTGGACTTCTCAAGACCAGTCTCTCTAGTGTTTGCTTCCTGCCTGCCTCAGACTCTGAAGTAGCTACGTCACAGTGGGGGAGGATGAGAGAGAGAGAGAGAGAGAGAGAGAGAGAGAGAGAGAGAGAGAGAGAGAGAGTGAGTGAGTTTACAGCTACATGCCACATCTAGGGCAGTGGTCCCCTGAGATTTTACCACCACCGTTTTCTTGGTTTGTGTAAATGTACTTTGTGATGTTTCAAGAACAAAATTCACACAATGATACACTTCTCAGAATGGGTCCCCATCATTAACTTGCACTTGACTGTATATGGAATACATCCATATGATCAGCTGTGTTAAATGGACCACCACACTCAGACTGAGCTTCTTCGTATCATGTGGTCAAGTGGGGATGCTTCTTGGTGTAAGATGAGCACAGCCCTTCCATGATGTCTTGGTAATCTGTATCTTATGCTGGAGTTCTTGCACTGTAACTGTGTGGGAGAGCCCAGTTTCACCTCTCCTTTCCTTTGCAGTTACGGACGAGTTTATGCTGCCGACCCCTACCACCACACACTTGCTCCAGCCCCCACCTACGGCGTTGGTGCCATGGTAAGTAGCAGTTCCTCCTTGTCCTCTGCTCTTGCTGTCTTCCTCCCTGCCCTCCCACCCCCAGCTGGGGCCTCAGTGTGGGCTGATGGTTGAAGTCCTCTCACTTTCCCTTAATTGAATTTGTCTCTTGTGCTAACAGCAGCTAAAATGCCACATTAATCCTCCCAGTAAACTTGATAAATGTCTTAATTTCTTGGCAATGTAGTGCATGTAAGTTATTATATTTCTAATTTTGCAAGTCTCACCTAGCGAGCACTTACCTTAATGGAATAATTAGTCATTTTGATAATTAAATCCATCACTAACGGAATGCAGTGTCAATGCAGAACTTTTTTTTTCTTTTTTTTTCCCTTCCCTCCCGTGCTGCTCATTCACATAGCCCCAAGGTTCCAGCCCCAGCACAGACTTCAGAGGAGCTAAGCTGCACACTTCCAGGCCTCTGCTGTCAGGCAGCTGAGAATCTGCCTGCTTCTCCTCCCCTTTTACAATTCATGTTTAAAGTCATAGTCGCCCAGGAGAGAAAGTAGACAGCGGGGCACACTTTGTGTGTGTGCCTAGTACATAAGAAATCAAGGAATCAGCTGGCTTTGGGGGTTGTCTTCTTTTTATTTTTTTCTTGGGGGGGTGGGAAGTCTGGGATTTTATTTTTGTTTTGGGAAGGGTAAGGGGGAGGGCAAACTGGGGGCAAGGGTGGGGTGAATTTGCCTGTACTTGTTCAAATTTCTATGCACTAAAACTCTTGAGTCCAGTAAGACGTGCCCATTGCGTGAGAGCGTATGCGATCATTACAGCGCTTTGGCATGTGGTCTTCTGCTTGAGTCAAGAATATCAGTCCTCTTCCTAAAACTCAGTCCCACAGACAGTCATTGGAATCACCAATACTTTTGGCTAAAGGAAATGGTTAAGTGTCACCTCATAGCTGAAGAAAGCTCTGGCCAGACAGTTCCCTGGACGCTGGGTCATAGAAACCCAAGCAGGATTAGAAGAGCTTACTGTTCTACATCTACACAAGCTTGATCACACCCAGCAGTGCCCCTGTTTCACCCCCACCACAACATCAGAATCCGCAGGTTCCCAACCAAATCCAGAAGCCTCCTACCCCCGCCCCCTTTTTTTTCTTCAATTTGGCATTTAGCAACCCTACTTCAACACCTAGGCCACTTGAGGAAAGGGGTGGAAAGGAGAACCAAATCCCTAAATTCAATAAATAGTCTAGAATCATTGTTAAATGTCAATAGAGTGTCTCCCAATAGAGCATCATATCAGTTAATCCATTCATCAGTAAAGTGAACTAGTTCCTATCCATCCACTGTCCCATTTATAAACCAGAGGCCTCATAGCTAGTAGGACCAGTGGATCCAATTCAATTTCCTGGGGATTTTTTTTTCCATAAAGAGTTGCCTGGGGAGGTCAGGACTGACCGTACCATTAGCTTTCTGAAAAGGTCCTGGGGTGGGGAAGGAGGGTGCCCTCTATTTTGGTTGGTTTTGAGTGTCTATCTTTTTTAACATTAGTCTTTTTGGTGATCCACATGTTACAAAAGGAAAACTGTAAAAAACCGCACCCCTCAAATTGCTTTGTTTCAGAACGCTTTTGCGCCCTTGACTGATGCCAAGACTAGGAGCCACGCTGATGATGTGGGTCTCGTTCTTTCTTCATTGCAGGCTAGTATATACCGAGGGGGGTACAACCGCTTTGCTCCATATTAAATGACAAAGTCATTAACAAACAAACACACAAACAAACAAACAAAACAAAATCAACCTTCCAATGTGGGGAGAGAGGAAGCTTTCCGAGGCCTGAGTGTTTCAACACATGCAGTAGGACATCATTTTAGCAACTCAAAGAAAACAACTAAAAATAAAAAGAGGAAAAAAATAACATTTTTTATCTTATACCTCAGATATTTTGTTCTGTGTATTTTAATATTGTGGGTCTTTGGTTTTGGAGGTTCTCGTAGTTCAGTTGCTGGCTGTAGGAGTATTTGTGGTTGATCTAGAGAGAGGCTAGATATGAATAAAAACCGATTTAGGGCCATATCCAGAGTGCTATATTATGTAAATGAATTATATGCTGAACATGAAGCTACTGGGGTTAAGGTGTTTGGGAAGAGTCTAAGTGACAAGTCATTCTTTCTGCATCTATATTATTTTATTCTGTGAAAAGGGAGGCTGGGAGGGGCTTAGGGGTTTGGGACTGGGGTTTGGCTGAAAGAAAAAAAAGAATATATAAATATATATATATATAGTAACTGATGAATCTAAATGACCCACTGCACCACCGATCCTAAATCTATGGTTCTAAGTTACTCCTGGCAAAGTCAAGCCAAAGGCTCTGTTAAGAAACCGCTTCTTACGACGCTGAGACTGGAGTTGAAGGAGGTTGTGTAAGTTCCCCTCTTATCATTCCATCTGCAGTACTCAGCTTCCTACCTACCCACTAGTTATTTAAGCAAAGACTACTAGTTAGGCCATCAATAAGCATTCTTTTTATATTTCTTCCAGTATGAGAAATTATTGATATCACTGCTGACTTTTATATTATGGGAGGGAAAAATTAACATTAATAAAAAGGTGATAAAAAGCACTGTTTCTATTTTTTTCTTTTTTTCCAAAAAAAAGAAAGTACTAAAAACTTAACTTCTTTGTACCAGTTAAAATCTGTATAAAATTTACATCTGTGCAGTGGAGTTATGTTCTAGAAACAGTCTCTGAGGCTTTAGTTTTAGCTTAGTAGATTAACTGTTAGAGACAGACGTATAATTTTTATGGAATTACATGATAATCATATCTGGATTTATAGTTGCATTTTACAAGTATCGCAATCATTGAATAGAGATAATCATGGTATTTTCATCAGCTTGATACTTTTTGAAAACATGGCTGCGCTGTGAGCAACTTGCAATTTTTCAGTCTGTGAGAGCCTGCCCTCCCCTCTCCCCGTGCCCCAGGGTTATCTTAAACTGGTATCTTTACTTCTGTCTCCGAGGCCCAAGAGGATTGTCAGAAGGAAAGAAAAACAAGACAAAGAACAAAACTATAAGCTCCCCCGCCCCCCAGAGAGTAGTGTGGGCCCCCGTTCTTTCTTGGATGCCGGGCCAGAGCAACACAGCCGAAAAATTGCAGCTTGTGATTTTCTTCTGTTGGAATCCCCCCATGTTGTCCTGTTTACAAGTTAACCTAAGTTGGGGTATCTGTCATGGGTCTTCTTGTTTTTGTATTTCAATTATAAACTATCAGCAAGCTGTCCCCTGAGTAGTGTTTCTGCCTGTGTCGCAGTGCAGGCCCCGTGGCACGCACCTTAGTGAGTTATCAATTCACGCTGTGAACCTGCCAATCCGCTGTAACAACTGCTTTAAGATCAAAACCAAACAAAACTTTAAAAAGAAAAAAAAAATGTGTTTGTGATCCAGCTTTTCCTAGTCATCCTACGTGCATGCCCGTAAGATCGGTTGGCTATTAAACCATCAATAAAGTTTCATGAGATTTGAAAACAAAGTTTCTGTAGCTTCGATATCTAAGACAGATGATCATGGTTTGGGAGAGAAAGAAAAGGAAAGGGCGAGGAGGGGAAGGGAGAGAAACCACTGAACGCTGAGAAGAGAAAAACCTAGAAACTGGTCTTTTTTTCCTCCCTTTTGAGTGGGGAGGCGGGGCCTGAGGGGAGACTGTTTGGCAGCATCCCTAGAAAATTCTTATTCCCCCACCTGCTACCGTGGGATGACCATGTGTGCACCTGGTTGATGTTATTGATTGATTACGATGCTGTAGCGTTCGCCCCCGGATGGGATAAAGAGAGTGACCAAGAAGGGGCTGCAGAAGGGTCAGCAGATAGCCCTTCCCAGTTACCCGCTTTCCAAGCCCAGAACCTGCATTGTGTATGAAATCACAAACATGGAATTCTTACTGTGCTGACTAAAGTAAAACTCATTTGCAGTTTTGATTTTCATCAATGAAATGTACTTTCCCCACGACTGTATGTAGTTTTAATAAAATCATTTAGAGCAAGTGGGTGCCAACCGATGTCGCAGAACCTTTTGTCCAGGCACTCCACCGAGCTGCCGATAAGTCGTTTTAAAATGTCATGTCAGAGGTGTAAACAAACATTTTGGATTTTTTTAAAAAACAGTATTTATTTGGAATGTTTTCATTTATCTAAATAACTATTGCTATTATGAATTATGGAAAAAAGATTAATGTGGCATATAGTGACTTCTTAACACACATCACTCAATCTGCAAACCCAGAAATGTGTATATCTGTCTTTAGAAATTAGTGTTTATATCACTTACAGTGGTTTGTGAATAAAGAAAACTGGTTTGTAATATCAAAAAATAAAAGCTTAGTCTGAAAAGGTACCTGTAAGTTGGTGTTCTGAGTTCTTCTGCCTCTGTGGATTTCTTTATGGAGTCAATTTCACATACACACACACACACACACACACACACACACACACACACCTGTAACATTGTACCCACAAGGGGGCTGGAGCGGGTGCCACCAAAGTGCATACTGGTCAGGGGAAGGCCAGATGCTCCATTCCTCTGGGTCAGATCCCTTTTTTCCATACTTGTCTACCCAAAGAAGTCAATGAACCCATGCTGGGATGTGTAAGAAACACTGATGCTCTTCCCCAGCATGTTACTGTCTGTGGTTTTACTTCAGTATCAGTACCCTATAGATTTCAAACAGAGGTAATTAGACGGCTGGTTGGGGGCGTTTGTGAGAAAGCCTGCTAGTTCACGCTACTGAGTACTTTGAATGGGTCAGGCAGCCTGCTTTGTCTATTGTATTTCTCAAGTTCATCATTTAGGAATCTCCTCATGACCTAGAGAGGTAAGGTAAAGGTGTCTGTGGCCAAGTGTAAGGACCTGCATTTAATCCCTGGGACCCACATGATAGAAGGAGAAGTGACTATCACAAGTCCTCTGAACTCTGTACTTACACTGTGACATGCACATGCATCTACATACATACAAAATGTAAGACACTCAAGAAGCCCACCAGAAGTCAGCCATGGTAACTCATACCTGTAATTTCAACCTCAGGGGGACAGTCCTCAAGTTCAAGGCCAGCCTGGGCTACATTGTGAAATCCTATCTGCAAAATTCATTGTTTTAAATTATGAGTGTGTGAGTGTGTGTGTGTGTGTGTGTGTGTGTGTGTGTGTGTGTGTGTGTGTGAATGTAGGTACCTTCAAAGCCCCAGAGCCTTTGGATTCTCCTGGAGCTGGAGTTACAGGCATCTGAGAGCCATCTGATACGGGTGCTGGAGAAGTAACTCAGGTCCACTGGAGGAGCACTCTGTACTCTTAACCACTGAGCTTTATCTCCTTTAAATTAATTTTTTAAAAAAGAAATCCATCATGCTTGAACATTCTACCCCATATAGTTACTTAATATCTTAATCCTGTCTTATGTAATTATTTAAACAATCCTGTCAATCTGAAAACACACAAAGGTTAAAAGATGCCAAGAGAAGCTAACCAACAGCCCTGTGCCATAGGCTTTTCCCCTACCTGGTCCAGGTAGATGCACCTCCTAATTCCCTGGAATATGAACATAAGGCTCAGCGGTTAAGAGTGCCTGTGCTCCTCCAGAGGACCTGAGTTCCATTCCCAGTACCCACATCAGGCAGCTCCTAGCTGCCTATAATTCCATTTTCAGAGGAATCTAAATCTCTTGCCAATTTGTGGGCACGGCGTATGTGTGTGTGTGTGTACATGAACACACACATGAGATACACAATCATCTGTACAATATGCTTGCAGCAACACCTCAGGAATGATAGGCTAATATTACAGGTAAAACAGTAGAGGTACAAGGAGGTTAGTTAATGTAAGATCACAGAGCCAGTGATGGGGAGTGTCTCCACTGGCCACCAGAACCTGAGAAGCAAGATTTTTACCCTGAATGTCTGCTGAATACCTCTGGTCTCTTGTCCTCTTTCTACATCAAAGGTTGTCTGAATAGCATGAATTCTGAGGATGGGAATCATAGCTGAGTTCGCAAAGTGCTTACTGTGCAATCATGAGAACCTGAGTTCAGGTCCCTAGCACCCTCATAAAAAGGTGGGCATGATGGCACCCATCTGTAGTCCTAGCACTGAGGAGTTAGAGATAGGAGGATTCCTAAGGCTCACTGGCCAGATAGTCTTGCTGATTTAGTCAACTACAGGTTCAATGAGAGACCTTGTCATGCAAATCCTTTGTCTGCTCCCTGGGATGGAGGCTTTGTAAAAAGTCAGTACTTTGGGGCTGGAGAGAACTCATCCAGTTAAGAGCACTGACTGCTCTTGCCGAGGACCATGGTTCAATTCCCAGCACCTACATGGTGGCTCACAACTGTACATAACTCAAGTTCCAGGGGATCTGATGCCCTCTTCTGACCTCCACAGGCACCAGGCACACATGTAGCAAGCAGATACACATGCAGACAAAACATTCATACACATACAAAAAAATATTTTAAAAAGTCAGTGCTTTGGATGAGCACTTCATGACCCCATGCATGAGCAGACGCTGGCACACAAGTAAAAGCCCTACCCCACCCACTAAGACAGTGTCACCCCAACATGAGGCTCATACACTTCCTCTATAAGATATGTCTTGTGAGCTTATTCCAAAGGTAAATTCTTAGGCTACTTAGCTAGTAGCCCTCCCACAACAAACAACCATCATTGTACAGAAGGTACCATCTTCCAGGGGCCTTAGTTCCCAGGGATCAGGCCTGTGCTCCACATTCCTGCAGGCCATGACTGAAGAATATGTGTGCTCACATGTGTGTGTAGGGGAACTGTGTGCACACATGAACACAAGTGCATGGAACTACATATGAAGTATACTTCCAACCTTCCTCTCCACAGGATGTGATTACATTTATCAATAATGAAGTCAAAACATAAACATAAAAGTAATACCCCCACAGCAGGAGAGAGGAAGCAGACATTTCTATTAGGAAATTTTTACAAAGGTTAGTTTGGCAGGGGGATCTTTTTACTTTTCATTCATGTAAAAAAAATACACATACATGTATGTGCAGACATGTGTGTTCTTATATTTGAGGCACTTATACAAACATTCTTCAAATCTTTTCTAAAGTGTATAAAATTCTCATTGTACAAACTGCTCAAGATTCCACCTGATGATTAATACTGGACAGGGGCCGGCTTATCACACAGCTCATAACAGAGCCCTTCAGCACACAGGTAAAACTGTGGTTTCTCATTCCTGATTTTTACAGGGCCAGGATTGGAGATTTGTGTTTTATTAGTGACAGTTGCCACTAAGCATGTTAGAAGAGTCTCCTCTGAGAAAACCACCCCCCCCCCAGTCTTACTTCCTATGCTACATACTGATTACCTTCCTTGAAAATTGGGGAGGCACCAACAGTGTGTTCTGCGGCCTGGAGCATCAACACCATGGCCATAGGTCTGATCACATGTAGCTAACCTAGGGAAAGTATTTACCCTGTGTCTCTCCAGTAGAAGCTACATTCTGAGGAGAAAGTTGGTATTGTGATGCGAACATGGAAGGGTCTTCAAAAGCTAAGAGTGCCTTTCCCAGAGGGAACAGTGCGGAGACTGCATTGTGAATAAAACATGCTAAAATCATTCAAAGACATTGGTTGCACTCTATACATGTACTTAATCTATACATTATATACATGTAATTCCTGTTATACATAAAAGGAGACAGTAAGTCTATCTTTAAAGTTTTTCAATTTACTTGCTTTGTGTGTGTGTGTGTGTGTGTGTGTGTGTGTGTGTGTGTGAGAGAGAGAGAGAGAGAGAGAGAGAGAGAGAGAGAGAGAGAGAGAGAGAGAGAGAGAGAATGTATGTGCACATGCACAAGCATGCACTCATGCCCTCATATACCACACTGTGCTTGTGGACCTCAAAGACACTTGTGGGAAGAGTCAGTTCTCTCCTCCACTGTGTGGGACTTGGGAATCATGCTCGCTCAGGCTTGGGATTAAACTCATTCACCTGCTAAGCCATTTTGCCAGTCCAAAGGCATGTCTTCATCTCACTGAACTTCAGTTACCTCATCAGTAAAATAATATAGGATCTAACTGTCCAGTGGGACAATTTGATACATTAAAACCTGGCCTGCTATACAGCATCTTTCCTTTGTAATAAAAAATAAAGCATGCTTATATACATATACATCCAAACTTAGAGGTTTCAGGAACATGTATCTATATGATACAAGTTTACACCTAAAGATGTATACACCTGAAATAAATATACTCAGAGGCACACACGGATTCAAATCTGTCTCTGTGTGTGCATTTGTGAGCTGACAAATATGCAAGCTAGAAGTCACTCTCTAAGGTCATCTCTCAGAAATTATCCACCTTGGTTTTTAGAGACAGAATCTCACACTGATCTTGAGCTCACAAAGTAGGCTAAGCTGGCAGGTCATCAGGCTTCAGGGTCTACCAGGGTCTGCCTCTCTAGCTTTAGGGTTATGAGCATATACCAGCTCCTGCAGCGCGAGCCTTAGGTTTACACGCAAAGCTTTGCCACTGATGCTACCTCTGCTGCTCACAAGCTTATTTTTCATTTGTTTTAAGATGGCCTGGCTTTGAACATAGTATTCCCCTGCCTAGGCCTCCCAAGTGCTTGAGATTTCAGGCATTCACTGCCATACCTAGCTGTAATATTTTAAATAAATTTAGATATGTTTATTAAATAAATACATTTAATCTTATACCTAATAAATAGTATAAGTAATACTATAAGTACTAGGTACTAAGTGTATGCTCATTCATTTAAAGTAAGTGAGCAGCAAAAGGGATTTGTTACTATTATTCCTATAGTCCTTATTATTTTGATATTCCTTAGCCCTCAGTGGTTAAGGTACAGTGCTGCCACTGTCTACTCACCAGAATTGGAATTCAAGCAGGCTGGGGACATGCCCAGGGTAAGCAGCTCTAAGCAGCAGAACTGGAACATGCTGGCTGGCTCCAGAGTGTCTGTTGCTCCATGCTAAAAACAGAGCTTTCACCCACATCCTGAACTTAATCCTTGCAGGAGCCCAGGTAAGTAATTAGACTCATGTTCCAAGGCTTATAAGCATTGGAGTTGCAGGCCAAATCCAGGGGCGTCCTTCCTCTCTGGTATACTGCACTCTCAGAGATGTCTGCCTCCAGTAATGGCCTGGTGAACTCTGATCTAGATAGAGCAACTTGAGCTCTTTCCACTCATGATCCTTTTTCCATCAAGACATTTTGATGTGACCCTATGTATATAAGGATATAAAATAAATACATAAATCAGTCACTGATAAACATCATAAAGGAATAATTCTAAAATAATTGTGGTATATATAATGAAACATGTATTAAAGAGCAAA